AGTTAAATGTCCAGTCTTACTTAGCCGAGACCAACAACAGCAAAGAACAGTCCTATAAAATTTATCTCCCACAAAAATAAACTATATATATAAAAATTTTATGATGTTCTTACTGTTCCATTGGCCACGTGCTTTTTTTTTTTCAGTATGAAAAATGAGGTATACTGGGGCTTAAGAGGTAGTAGTGTGTTTTGATTGTACAACGTAGAGGAAATAAAAGAGAAACTTCATCAGAGATGGAAATGGCTCGGTGCTCCGAGTCTGGCCAACACGAGCAACTGTGTCAGTTGTACAGGCTGGCCAATGAGGTTTCAAAAAGGCCCAACCAAAGGTATGAAATGGGACTTTTACTTTTATGAGCCACTGTTTATTTGCTTATTTCATGCACAGTTAAAACGAATGTTGAGTTTTAATTCTCTCCATAGCTCCTTTGGTGATTCACAACAGTGAGCGATCTGCCAGTCTCAGAGAGGTATGCGGCCTTTGAAGCTACCTCCCTGAAGTGGCTGGAAGAGAGATGGTTTTGAGTTTCATTTGGCTTCAGAATTAAAAGCCACACTGACACAAGCCCTTATGAGAAACTACCTCCTGGCCCAGTTGATAATACCATGTTAAAAAGTCAGCACACTCACTAGGAGAGAAAGGAATAAAAACTCTACATAAGAAGCGCTTAAAATAAATCTGGTTGAGACATATTACAAAAATCACATTTGTGTAAAATACATGAAACTCTTTGTCAAGCATTTTCTCATATTCAACTAATCTTAAAAACATATATTTCTGATTGCATCATGCAAAAGCTGAGCTTGTTGCATCTCACCTACAAAGCTTCAAGTTTCTTTGAAGGTTGGCTTTATTTTATTCATTTATTTATTTGCAAAAAGTATGTAAAAATGTGTTCCTTTCTTGCAAACGTCTTTTACAAAAATAGTTTTGACTAGGGGTAGCTGCGGTTTGAACTATTTCAAACATTGACAAAAATGAATGCTGCAAGTAACAAGTTCATTCCTTTTGAAGTCTGGAGGTAGGTCTTTGCAAGTCAATTAGTCCATTTCCTTAAACGATTCATTTGAGGTACAAACTTGGAGGGTAACATTTAAACATTACAATCAAATTTTGTGTGATGTGTAGTGCGATTGAGGAAAATGATCCTTAAGAACCTAGGAGCGACTTGGTTAAAAAAAAAAATATTCAAGTTAATGTAGAAATCTAGCAGAGAAGCTGAAACAAGTATTTGTAAAATTTTAATTAAAAAAAAAAAAAACATAGAAAAATACATAGCCATGCTGAAACACACAGTGAGGAGACTGCTTCTTTAACTGGAATTAAGTGTACAAAAAGAACTGCAGATGATTAGCATCACCTACCCATTAGGTTTCTTCTTGCATTGCTTGTGTATAGCAGCATGTAATAAGTACTAGACTGTAAGTTAATTGTAACATTCAGAGGTAGTATTGAGTAGTGGGAATATATTGCATCTCTGGCTAAAAGTGCAGTTTGAATGAAGAGATGGTAAACTGAAGTCTAAGTAAAACACCTCGGTCAACCATCCTATGTCAAAATGTATTACCTGAAGTAACACATAAACTTAATTTGAGGTAAGTGGTATTTAGGTCTTTCACGGAAACTGATATATAGTGAAGGCGGGAGGAAGAGAGGGAGGGAGAGAGAGAAAAGAGAGACTGCTTTTTTTTAAAAAAAAAAAAAATCGTAGCGTAACTATAGCAAAAGAAATTTAGATTTCGCTCCTCCTATCTCATAATTCAGGTGAGTTCATCATGCATTATTCTTGTACCTTTTCATTAAATTTTACTTGTCTAGGTTCCTTAAATGCTCTGAGGCTGACAAGTGTGATTTATTGCTAAATGGCAATTTGGCTCTGTAGGAAGTAGATTCTACCTAGATGAGTGTTTTCCTGAAAACGAGTGGACGAGTAAATTTATTACTCCTACTGATATGTGTGGTATCCATAAATATAGGAGTTGGCAATACTTGTTTGCTTACTTCCCTTTTTGAAAAATGAATATAACCTTTTCTGGTCTGTTAGCTGAATGAAAGGATACATCAGCATTTCGTCTCGTTTAGAAATAAAAGTTAAAAAATCATCAAGTAAGTGTCTACAAGATTATACGAAAAAGAGAGAAGTAGTATCTAGTCCTATCTTTGGTGTTCTAAACAGAAGCTTCACTACGTGGAGCAGGCGGGTGGTGCTGGAGGCGTACACAGTGTCATACACTGCGCCTTTCCAAAGTGAATGCCCAAGGTCACAAGTGTGACACGTTTCTTGTTTGTGTGCAGTGCAGTGATTGACTAAACCTGATTCAGAGTTTTCCTCACCCACCTGCTCTTGCTTATCAGATCAACAGACTATTAGTAGGTTAAGAAAAAAAGAAACAGTAATTAAAAGTTGCATTGTTAAACTGTGTCCCCTGTGTTTACAGCAGTTTTTCACTAAACCTGGGACTGTGAAGGGATTACAAAGAAGGTGATTAATATAGTCCTTTTTAAGGTTATGTGATGTCTCCCCCCACCCCAC